CACGGGCTTTGCCGTGCTCCGAGCGAAGTCTTTCCTCGGTCCGGCGTAGCTCGTCCCGCTCCTCGCGCAATCGGGTGATCGCCTCGGCGTCCCGGTCTGCCCTCTGCTGCAACGTCGCAGACCTCTCCTACGCCTTTAGCCTGAGGTCCCGCTCCATCTCCAGCTCCGCCAGGAGCTCGACGGCCTGCTCCCTGGCCACGGCATCCTTCTGTAGCAGTTCGTCCCGCTCCTTTTGGAGCCTGGCGGTCTCCTCCTCGTCCACCTTCACCCTCACCGACAAATCCTCGAACATCCCATGGATCTCCTCCACGTCCCGACGCATCGCGGTCTCCTACTACTGGGCGGCAGCAAGCTGCGCGCCCACATCTCCTCGTAGCCAGGCCTCCTCGGTAAGACGGTCCCACTCCGCCTTTTGCTCGCGGAGGAACCAAGATTTGTTCTGGCTACGAGCAACGATACACTGACGAAGACCGGTATCAAAAATACGAAAACACAAGAATACCTGAAGGAAGAAGGAAACAAGGGAGAAGATTAAGCGGGCACCTGGCTAGAAGGAATGAGGATCTCACGTAGGGCACCACCGGCCTGGTTCAAGGCATCCATCACAGCCGAGAGCCCGATGTCAAGATTCTCCCGCTCCATGCTCTCAGAAGCATCATCGATCGAGAAAACAACCAACGTTGGGTCCTGAGCGGCCATCCACTGGAGCGACGGCTCGACCCTTGCGGGGGAGCGGCTGCCCCCCGACAATAGGACCGGGGACGACCTTCTACGGGTCCTCCCCACCACCGCCACGACGCCCGAAGACCCTCCGGCCGTGTCCTCCTCCATCTGGCCCGCCTCAGGCGCCACGGCCTGGACCACCGGTGGCGCGGATTGCGCTATCTCCTCGGATGCCACCATGGAAACATCCGACCCCGTCGGGCTTGTCGCGATCACAGCTACCTCCGTCTGGGCCTTCGGTGACATGGACTGCGCTGCTCCCTCGGACGCCACCGCGGCTGCATCCAGCTCCACCTGGTCCGCATCAGGCAGCGCCACTTGGGCCGCCGGGGGCACGGATCGCGCCACCCCCTCGGACACCACCACGGTCGCGTCTCCGGCTGCTCCTAGCTTGGCGCGCTCGTGGCCCCCTGCTCAACAACCACCAAGGGCACGGGCGCCACCGCAGGTGCTGCCGGATCGGCCAACGAGGCCGCAACGTCAGCACCGCTCCTGCCCAAAACAGGGGCGACGTCGGGCAACGCCATCCGCCCCGCCTGAAGGGCAAGGCTCTTCTTGGACATCGGTCCCAAAGGGTGGCCCCGTCGCAAGAATCTGCGAAAAGGAAAAATGACATAAAGTCAGAACAAGAACAATAAAAAAGGAAAACGAGGGGAATCGATGACATACTCTAGCGCTTTTGGGCGACGGGTACGTTTAGGGGACGAACCCGGACCCCCACTCTAACTCATGTGGGCGGGACCGCTTGAAGCCTGCCCCCTGCTCCGAGGCAAGGGGCTCGTCTCCCTTGTCTCCAAGGGTGCGGCGACAGAGCCGCTCCCCTCCATCGGCTCGTGGGGCACGGCGATAGAGCCGTCCCCCTCCATCAGCTCACGGGGCACGGCATCGGAGCCGCCCCCCTCCATCAGCACCTCGGGGTCGGCCACGGATCCATCCCCTCCCATCCACCGATCCCCCGACGGCACCCCGAGGGTGATGACGGATCCACCGGCTCCCACCGGACCCAGGGGCAGGCCCGGCTCCACCGTCCTCACGGACTCGCTTCCCTCCGCGTGGAACGAAAGGGGTCCCTGCATGGACAGTGAGTCCTCGTTCTCTAGGTCACCCCAATCCACGCCGGGTGCTGCCTCATCGTCGTCGTCATCATCGTCGTCGTCGTCGCCGCTTACCTCCTCTCCTCGGACCCGTGCCTGCTGCTTCCGTATCAACTCCTTCTTCTTGAGCTCCCTTGTCCTCTTGTCCCACTCAGTCGCGGTGGGGCATTCACGTCATCCCTGACATAAAACCACTGCGAATGCCACCCTTTGTTGGAGGATGACAGACGCATCAACGGGTAGCCGCTCGCCCGGGTATGGCGTAGATGAATGCTGGCACATCCCATCGGCACAATCTCTATCCTTTCCCACCAAAACAGCGCTAGACGGTTTGCCTTCCCAAGTGGACCAGACTCTTTCCCCACAGAGGGGATATGGGTCAGAATGCTTCGTCTCTGGTCCACCTGGGCCTGGAACGTCCAGGGATCGGCCCAACGGTCTCGACGACCAACCCAACAGGGGATGGGCCCGTAAGCAACCAGAACCCACGTACACGAGCGTCAGTAGGGCCTCGATCCGAAGTCGAGCCCCAGCCAGGCTGACCCTGGACAAAATCCCCGCGCAACGGGATACTGCGATCCCCTTAAAAATATCCAGTTGACGAAAAACCAAGTCTTACGGCCTTACCCACGGAGGGTCCGATACTACCCCCCGGGCGATTCTACTCGAATCACCCAGGGGCTCGGGGGCTACACCCACCGAGTGCGCTCGCGCGCACCCTCTGGCGACAAAATCAAAACACCCCCGGGCGATTCTGTCGAATCACCCGGGGGCTACTGTCGGGGACATAATACCGGGATACCCAAGGAGGTGGAACTAATAACCATCGGACATTAAAAACTTCCGAACGGACAAGAGCACTACTGCACTTCTTGCCCGAACGACGGGAGTTTGGTTCCGCCTCGCCCGACGCCCATGGGCCAGCTCCGCCTCACCCAACGGCTGGAGGACAGCTCCGCCTCGTCCGAGGGCTAAGGGCTAGACTCCGCCTCACCCGACCCCAAGGTATAAACTCGCCTCGCCCGACCCCCGAGGGATGGGCTCCGCCTCGCCCGACCCCCGAGGGTTGGGCTCAACCTCGCCCAACGGATCAAAGCTAGGCTCCGCCTCGCCCGACGTCCGAAGACGGACCTCGCCTCGCCCGATGTCCAAAAGGCTGGCTCCGTCTCGCCTGACAACCGCACCCCGCTCCCTCATGATGATAGGCACAGGGTAAGATAAGACGTTCGGGTCAACCACGGCATCGAGGACTATGCCCTGCGCCACTGCGGGAAAGTATTGTCAGAACACGACGGGACGAGCGCTTTAGACCCTTCCAGGCATGGCAGGGGCTAAATAGTATTGTAGGCGCGTACATTTTTCCCTACAGTGTTGTAGGCGCCGCCTTCAGCCCTCGGGTGAGGAATCGGACACCAACATATGACAACCACTACAGTTCAAGAGGGGACTCCCATACTCTATAGTGACGAACGAGCGGTCACCGCACCATCCGCTCCCCATAGGACCGTGGGGGACATCTCAGCCCGACACGCCGCCCGCGGGGGCAGGACGGAACGTGACCACTTGCAGATCAAGTAAAGGCGCAGCGTCATCAACACCCAAGTACCCGGCGAACGTGCCAACCGCTGACACCAGCTGGCCGTGTCAGCAAGGCTGGATTGGAGGAAAAGGAAGATCCGGACCCTTCGAAGGACCTTCTATACTCGTGTTATTTTCCTCTTTCACCCATCTGTAACCCCTGCTCTCCCATTGATCTATAAAAGTGAGGGCAGGGCTCCCCGCTAAAGGGACGACCGACTTTTGACGAACAACTCCCATACAGACGAGCTCATAGAGAGTCCAGTTCCACATCACGCACACAGTCAAGCCGCCACCAGGTTCTTGGCACCCTTTCGACCCTTCCATCGTAGATCTGGGACCAGTTCCTCTCTCGACCGTTTGTACCCCTATTACGAACCGTTTTTGGTGCTAATAACACGAGCAGCAACAAACTGGACGTAGGGACATTCAGCCTGAACCAGTATAAACCTTGTGTCCTTTAGCGCACTATCTGAGCCTAACACGCATCAATTATAAATTTGCTTGTTCGAAACACCGACACCTGCTGGCTGATTTCTTTCGGTGTTCTTCTCAACGTCCCGGTGTACACATATGGCTTGCTTAACGTTATATTTCATTTCTGCAAAGAACTCACTGTGGGTACGCACTGATATCACTGGCGAAGAGGTTAGGCCACAAATAATGTTACGCACTGAAATCACTGGCGAAGGGTTAGGCCACAGATAACGTCAGCTGTTGTTGGAGCTTCATCTGACAGCCCCGACCAGCATACAACCATTCAAAAATGTAGAGGGCTAGAGGCATGGACATCCACTATGGATGTAGGGTAGGATACCCGAGTTGTCAATAGACAACCTGAAGAATCCGGAATTCCAGTTCCAGATCATACAACATTGTAACTCTGCTGACACTTCCACAGCATAGGGATCCCTCTGTCCTAAAAAGAATGTCGCTACGAAGTTCATATTGATCAAATTTTCTTAAATTTTACAAGATTTATAGAAAATATTAGCAACATTTATATATCTCCAAATAAGTTTGTTATACCAATAATACCAATCTGCACTATATCAGTATTTTCTTATATATATTTGCTCAAAGTAGAAAATGTTTGACTTCACATGACAATGGCATTCTTTGTGGTACTGAGGAAGTACTATTTCACATTCAAAATCAAAATCTACCATTAGATTATAAATAAACATACAGGGTCGCTTTTAATCAATATATGAGCAAAATAGAATGGAAGGATAACACAAAAAACAGAATATGCATCAACCTTTGGGAGGATGAATGAACAGTAAATAAAAAAACCAGAAAACAGGAGGATATACAAAAGGGCCACCGGTGTTGGTACATGATTCATAGATAATCCCCACAAGCACAAGAATCCAAAGTGCCACACAACAACCGGTAAATATTACATACCACTAGCCATTCAACACAGCTACTAATATCCAATATAGGTAGCGATAATATTGACCAGGTCATGTAGTTATTAAAAACAGAACACATTCAACCATGCTGCTAAGAAAGACCATGTAATGATGCTAATTGCATATGACATCAAGGAAGAGATAGATCATCCAAAGGCTTCAACTTCACATGATTCTGTTGTGGAGGTCATTCAAACTTCATCCTTTTTCCGCTTGCCCCCATCCCAATTGCTTCTACCGCTCCCTAGCAGAAACAGATATTTGTCAAAATATAAATAAACAGCTCTCTACCTACTTCAAGGGTGTTCTCACAAAATAACGTTAGGTTGCAGAACAAACTATAAACGGCTCTTTCATTCAAGAAAAAAAAGTTGGAACAACTTTGGAAGAAACAGGGCATCGACGACAATTATAGATATCGTAGTTTGTCACAAGCATTTCAACAGTGGAGTATTTCTAAGATTAATTAGGAATAACGGCATCATGCATGGTCATATCCAAGGCATTTCATGAAGATAACCTACCCAAACAGGAGCATATGCTAACACTTGCACTTCTCACAGCTTTGAATTCAGTGTTATAAATTTTACTTGGGAAGTTATGCGACCCACGTGGTACACGAGATAGGATCCTACTGATCCGAATCCAGAATCTATTTAAAACTAAATGTGCTGTATATAGCGGTAGTAGAATGTACGTACTTGGTGATACTTTGAGCCCAACTGGGAGTGGGAAACACTGGCGGCGAGGAGGTAGCGCCATCTCACCAATGCTCTTGGGTGTTTTTGCTGGGTGGCAGAGATGACCCTGGTTTTGCACGCGTCAACAGAAAGCAGGAACTTGACTCCCCTAACCAGGTAGCCTTCCACGTGTTCCACATCACCCGGAATGACAAGGTAGACGACGTCATGTTCTAGCGTGCTTAGGATAGGGAACAATGGCGGGATCTGTGGCACATCCTTGGAGATAAATGTCTTATCTTTCCAGATATCTTTTAGAAGCAGCTTGGTGTCTACCATCCAGCTAGGGGATGGCTTATCCAGGTCCAGGGCATAGGTAACGAGCGAGATTGGGCCACCCTCCATGTAGCCATCCATGTTGAGAAACTTGATGGTGCCATCAACGCAGGCCATGTTGCGGTATTCTTGGGGGTGTTGATCGCTGATGGAGCATCCATGGGGCAGCGGAACAAAAGACACGTCCAACCAGTCCGATGAGTCGACCTCACAATGTCGTCCCAGATCCCAGAGTAGCAATCCGTGGAGAAGATCGACCCAGCAGAAGAGGTTCCGGTTCCTGCTTTGGACAGGGAAGGACATGTGAGTCCTCCACGTGCGGTACACCTCGGCGGGGAGCTCGCCGTGCTTGTAGACCCACGAGCATAACGACGACTGCCAGAGGCAGAGCATGCCCTGCGCAGGAAGCCCGCGGCGGTGGAAGTCGAAGAGCAGCTCGGCGAGGACGAAGGCGCCACCTTCGCGTGTCATGATGACGGCCCCGTAGCCGGTGGTCCTGTAACAATCAGAGTACTCCAAGCGGATACCGGGGATCGCGGAGAGCGAGGAAGATGAAGATGCGTCGGTGCCGAGGTTCAAGAGCAAGTACCACCGGTTGTACGAGTAGGCTGGGCGGTAGGAGCCGGGGTAGAGGACAACCAAGTTCTTGTCAGCGGCGGCGGCCACAGCGCCGTCGCGCAGGGACCATCCGTGATTTGGGATCGGCTCTGATGAGAGTGGTCGCCGCATGGTGAGGCAGCTTACATCCGGGGGTTCGACGACCTCCAGATCTGGCGTCATGGCCAGCAGGTACTTGGCAATTGATGCTTCGATGTCCTCACGGCTTGGAAGCTTTGGTAATTCCGCGGTGGTGGCGCCGACCAGGCCCTTCGCTCTTTCCGCGCCGAGCACGCGCTCTGCTCTTACTCCTAAATCGAAGGGTTCTGTCTCTTCGGGATGGCTGCGGAAAGCAACGGTGCGGTCGAGCAGGATGCAAGCAGGGGCCATGGCGCAAAGAAGAGAACTGATGGAAAGCTACGGTCGGGTCGAGGAAGAACTGCGAAGAAGATGGCGGCGGAGAAGGAACCCTAGGACCGGAGCGGCGGAAGGAATTGGGGAATTTTGTGCGGATCGAGTTAAGCTAAGCGAAGGGGCGCAGACATATTCCGGATTGGACACCGGTTTTCTTTACCCGGCCTCCCTCCTCAGGCCTCGTTTCATCGTTTGGACGGACCTGATAGGGTGTGTTTGTTTCGTTTACTAGAACAGAATCACCAACCAATCAATCGAGAAACAGCGGAGGAACAAGAACAGAGCGAATCCGGAGGGAGGCGGAAGGAATCGATCGACGAAGAAACCAGCGTCACCTTCCTTGGCCCCCACCCCATGGCGCGCAGGAGCAGGAGCGGAGGTGCTCTTCCGGCGGAGGAGCAGGGGCGCGAGCGGGGAGGGCCGCCGGAGACGAGCGAAGGAGCAGATGGTGAGCTTCGGCACCCCGCGCCGCGGCCGTCGTGGTGGAGGCGAGCGGGGAGGGGCGCCGGAGATGGCGCGGGGAGGGCCGTCGGAGGGAATCAGATCGTCTGACGTCGGGCTCCTCGACTGCACTCGGCAGTCGCTCGATCCGTGCCGTTCCCTGGCATCCAAGCGTCCAGCTCGTTCTGCTTTTATTTTTTTGAGCAAATCCAGCTCGTTCTGCTCGCACCAGGTGATACAAACACCAGTCCAGTAGCCCATCTAAACCCACGAGACCAGAACACCGCGTAAGAACACGCGGCGTTGGGCTGATGTCTTCCACGGCGAGCTGGCCGCGCCGCCGCCGCCGTTTCCTGCACAGCCGGTTTTTAATCTCTCTAGCTATGCGGCGAAGACCGCACGTCAACGTCAAGTTCATCAAGATCATCGCAAGGTGCTGCTGACTTCTCCTGGCGTCTTTGCTATATGTCGTGGGGCAACAAGCTGTGGCTTCTGGCGAGACGGCAAAACACAACACACACCTTGGCCAACCTTGGCCAATATGGTAATGAGTATCTGGAAGCAAGGTGGGGAACAGCACGACGCGTGCCCGACCATGGGGCGTGAGATCACCCATAACGTTGCGGTAGCGGGAAGCAGAGCGCCGGCGAGCTGTGGTGGCCTAGCGTGGAGAGGAGCGCCGATCTGCAAGGAAGACAGAGAAGGCACCTCCTGAAATGAGCTACGATGACCTGTAGTGGCTCCGTTCGGCTTACCCCGTATACGGCTTATTCAGCTTCTTTTTTTCCAGCTGAAACAGTATTTTTCTTTCACAACAATTTAGCCAGAACAATGTTTTCATCTAGTTTCAGCCAAAATTCAGCAAGCCGAACAGGACCCTTCACTGAAATGACACAGAAACACTTTTGCAAACAAGACACGGTAATTATGGAACAATATGTACATCCAATCATTCACTTGGACAATTCAGTGATCACATTCTCAAATTTCTAGTCACAATATCACTTTACAATCTCACAATCATATCTAACAACTCTGTTCTGAAGTTTCAGCTCTGCTATTTACATTGTTGGAACATCTGAACAGCCTGACGAGCAGAACTGCAGAACCACGGCTACCCTTCCCTTGGAATCCAGAAGCACATGGAGAAGGATGGAACGTGGGTGGTGCTGCATCTGTACCTACGCGAACTGCTGCTACATCGTGTACCTCAGCGCGGAGCAGTCGGAGGCGAAGAACAGCGCGGACCACGAAGGATAGAACTTAGCCATAACTGGGAATACATGGCTAGACGACGCGGAGTACCAAGCGAGCACTCAAGAACAAGTGGTGCCATGGCGCCGCGGATGGGGTAGACGGAATGCAATGGAAAGTGAAGTGAACAGAGCATTGCCGTTTTGACTCGACGAGCTGTGGAGAGCGTGCGTAATGTAGTTGGGCCGGACCGAGAGGCCGTGAGCGCATAAATTGGTGGCCAATGCTCGCAGACGTCCGATCCTCAGCCAAGCAGCACAGATAGTGTATTTTGGCTACACGCGATCGTTTCACGTGAAGTTAGACGATCTCGTTCCCGTCGGAGACGAGCGAGGCGAGCAGAGGAGCAGAGGGCGCGGTAGGTGAGGAGGGGCAGGGCGGTGATGGGAAGCGAGCGCAGGGCTGGCTCGGGCCTGTCTCCAGGAGTCCAGGAGAATCACTGATTCGGTGATCCCAGTTGGGCCAGGCTCCGCGTGGTATGGGTGGCTACTTGTAGCCAGGCCTGGAACCCTTGCCAACGAACCAAACAGCCAGAAACTGGCCCAAGGAAGCCAGGGGCCAGGTTGGGCTGGCAACCAAACACACCCGTAAAGGCTGTGTCGCTCGAACCTATCAGCCCAGTATTTTTCTCTTCAAAAAAAAAAAAAAGTATCCGTCGGCTTATCAGCCACAAAAACCATCACCACCTGATCCCGGTTGATCCACGAGTGTGAAAAATACCTACGTCTGGGGCATGGAATCTCTCTTGTGCATGCGCGTGCCGGCGCCGCCGTCCTGGCACCCTCCACCGCCGACAATCCTTAATCCAATAGGAACTTATTTGGATACATGTGTATCCACTTAAATTCACATGTGCTGGAGTGGATTGGACCGGAAGTTAGTTTAATTTTACTTCAATCCACGTCAACACATGTGGATTAAGATGATACGTGCGCATCTAAACAAGACCTTACTTGGCATCCATCACTGGCGCATCCCCTCCGGACTCGTCATCTCTCCCGACCTCCATTCATTCGCTCTGCTCCCTCCTCACGGCACATCTAAAGAACACCGTGCGCAGGCGAGGCAGCTGCAACGGCGGCGAGCCTCCCTCCTCTCCATCCAAGAAGCGCAGTCAAACGGCCACAAGTTGGTATTTTTGCCAATTTTCGTAATTTTTGCTATTCTGTACATTCAAAAATAATGACAAATTCACACTTTTAATTCTTGCTATTTGTACATCCAAAAATAATGGAAAATTCACTTGATGGCATAAGACGTGGCACTCGGCAGGATGAGACTGCATACAGCCAGGCTTGGATACGAAACTAACACTTTGTTCTCTTCTTCCTTCACGTCTCACTCATTTTTTTTGTTTACATTTTTTGTGGGTACAGCCCAAAGAAATTGTTTCTGTACAAATGTCTTAACTGGGAATACATTATTTTTTGGGTGAGTTTGATATCTAGCATTTATGAGCTAATGAGATTGGCTTATGGTGGGTGGACAGATGTGCGCCTGTAAAATACAGGACAGGCATTGCCGTTTTGTCCCACGCAATTGCTGTGAGTTTTGTTGATCGCCGAAGAGCGTGCTTATGAAGTTGGTGCTTCTGCATGACTTATACTATGAATCAGAAAATCGTGTATATCTATTTTGGCTACACGAAAAGTTTGTGTTTCACATGAAATCTGCTCAAAATTTTAGAGTGAAATTTGTCAAAAGATGATTCTGACGTGAAACCTTTTCCAAATTCCGATGGCTGGTGTGGTCGGTGACGATCTATAAATGATGAACCAGCAGTGATCTGACCGTGCCTGATCGAACGGTGGATAATTTCTCTCTGGGATGTGTTTGAAGCACTTCTGTTGCATCTTATTGTTCATATATTGTTGTTCCAATACAAACATGTGGATAATATCCAGTATATCGAACGGAGGATGCAAATCACAAAGCTCCCCAGAAAATTGAAAAGGAATCATACAAGATACAGTGGCCAAAAAACATTTTATTGCATGACTCAAAAATAATTTGTTCTGTAAATATTATTCAGCGGGCAATTTTTCTTTGAGGTACTTGAGAATTGCTTTCGTTCCTCGCTCCAACAGAGTTCGTCTTATGCTACACAAGAAAGCAACAGGCGGCTAAGCATATTGTAAAGTGTCTGTCAACTATATCTTTCCCTTTTATTTCGTTTTTTTTTGTTCCAAGGATTTATCACATAGCACCAACAATCATATGGCTATTATGTGTGTTTCTGTAATTTTTGGTAGAACCATACGGCTACATCCCGGATTCCTTTATTAACACAGGTATCATCAAATCACAGCTCGAGGTTACATTTTTACCTTCTTAGTGGATTTCCATCCAGTTTCAACACTTGCAAATTAGCTTCAAGTAATCCCTGCAGAGACAAGCATCCATAAATACAAGATCCAGCTAGATTGAGAAACAAATACAACTCATGAGCAGGAAGAGTTGTCCATAACATCTATATTATAGAACAGTGTGCGGAAATAGATACTAAGAAGATACATGAAATAAAAGACTAAAAATGAGGAAAAAAAACATACCAGCTCTGCTGGGAGTGCTGTTATATTGTTGTCTGACAGATCAAGCTCAATGAGAGCAGTGAAATTCTTGATGCCCTGTTTATGTGCAGTTTGGTCAGCATATGCAGAAATCGGAAGGCACCACTATCAGCTGCTTACAACAATAACAACAACAACAACAACAACAAAGCCTTTAAGTCCCAAATAAATTAGGGTAAGCTAGAGTTGAAACCCAGCAGAAGCCATCAAGGTTCAGGCACGTGAATAACTGTTTTCCAAGAACTCCTATCTAAGGTTAAGTCTTTGGGTATATTCCATCATTTCAAGTCTCCTTTTATTGCCTCTACCCAAGTCAACTTCGGTCTTTCTTTGTCTCACTTCACGTAACTATCCTGGCTTAGGATTTCACTACGCACCAGTGCCTCTGGAGGTCTCTGTTGAACATGTCCAAACCATCTCAACCGGTGTTGGACAAGCTTTTCTTCAATTGGTGCTACCCCTAATCTATCACGTATATCATCGTTCTGAACTCGATCCCTTCTTGTATGACCGCAAATCCAACGCAATATACGCATTTCCGCAACACTTATTTGTTGAACATGTCGTCTTTTCGTAGGCCAACATTCTGCACCATACAACATAGCAGGTCTAATCGTCGTCCTATAAAACTTGTCTTTTAGCTTTTGTAGTACCCTTTTGTCACATAGGACACCAGATGCTTGGCATCACTTCATCCACCCTACTTTGATTCTATGGCTAACATCTTCATCAATATCCCCGTCTCTCTATAGCATTGATCCTAAATATCGAAAGGTATCCTTCCTAGGCACTACTTGACCTTCCAAACTAATATCTTCCTCCTTCCGAGTAGTAGTGCCGAAGTCACATCTCATATACTCAGTTTTAGTTCTACTGAGTCTAAAACCTTTGGACTATAAAGTCTCCCGCCATAACTCTAGTTTCTGATTCACTCATGTCCGGCTTTCATCAACTAGCACTACATCGTCCGCGAAAAGCATACACCAAGAGATATCCCCTTGTATGTCCCTTGTGACCTCATCCATCACTAAGGCAAACAGATAATGGCTCAAAGCTGACCCTTGATGTAGTGCTATCCTAATCGGGAAGTCATCCGTGTCTCCATCACTTGTTCGAACACTAGTCACAACATTGTTGTACATGTCCTTAATGAGCCCGACGTACTTCGTTGGGACTTTATGTTTGTCCAAAGCCCACCACATAACATTCCTTGTTATTTTATCATAAGCCTTCTCCAAGTCAATAAAAACCATGTGTAGGTCCTTCTTCTTCTCCCTATACCGCTCCATAATTTGTCTTATTAAGAAAATAGCTTCCATGATTGACCTTCTGGGCATGAAACCAAATTGGTTCATAGAGGCCCGCGTTATTGCTCTCAAGCGATGCTCGATAACTCTCTTTCATAGCTTCATAGTATGGCTCATCAACTTAATTCCCCGATAATTAGTACAACTTTGAATATCCCCTTTATTCTTATAGATCGGTACCAATATACTTCTCATCCACTCGTCAGGCATCTTGTTCGATCGAAAAATATGGTTGAACAACTTGATTAACTATACTATAGCTATGTCCCCGAGGCATCTCCACACCTCGATTGGGATACCATCCGGTCCCATCGCCTTACCTCCTTTCATCCTTTTCAACGCCTCTCTGACCTCAGATTCTTGGATTCTCCGCACAAAGCGTTTATTAGTGTCATCAAGAGTCATCCAACTGAAAGGTTGTGTCCGTATCAGTTGCTTACAACATTTGTAAATATAAATTTTAATCTTCAAAACATATCATGAAACCAAAGGAAATTTTATTAAAACTAGCAAACTCCCTTGCTTGCAGAGAAATCCTAATAATTACCTCCGGCACAGTTGTAAGGTTATTCTGACTTAGGTCAAGAATCCGAAGCTGTTTTAAGCCCAACAAACCATTAGGAAATTCATGGAGTTTCATTCGTCTGCCAACAGATAGAGAAAGAGAAATAAGCTTTCTTCTAATAGTTGTAGTTTAGAGGCTGTGCATATGTTCCAACCTTAGGTAGAGCTCCTGCAGCTGTGGTAATGCGGAAACTGCAGAAGGTTCAGGAAGTGCTGAAGCATTGCCACTTAGATCAAGTACTTCCAGTTTGGACAGAGACGCAAGATCAGTGGATGATATCTACAAGAAAAGCAAGTGTGTTATGATATTGTGTAATGAAATGCTGGATATTTACCATATATTTGCACGTAATATTTCAAGAATATTCTCTTTGTGCTCTCTCAAAGTTAATACTGCTTTCATTTTGTACTATCAACATTTGGTCAAGCTCCAATAATCAACATTGGCCATAAGACTTGACAAATTGAGATTCTTCTGTTTGCCAAATATATGTTATTGTTGCCAAATATATGCCATAAGACAAATGATACAAAGAGATGTGATTGTTATATTACCTCTACCAAGGGGTTATTGTCCAGCTTTAAGGAAGACAAACTGGTAAGGGAGGAAACCACTGTGCGAGGCCACCTTTTTATCTTGTTATTAGACAAAACTAAGGACTGAAAAAAAGGGCAAACGCTAAATATTCATGTTGAGCTTGATAATAATAAAAAAATATGACGATATTTCCATTCTAAGGAACTTACTTGAAGTGATGAGCATAATGACAACTCATTTGGTAGATCTTCTATTGAATTTTTAGAAAGATCCAGTTTTACCACATCACTTGTCTCCCATGCCGCAGCTGGTACACTGGTCACACCAAGACCACTCAAGTCCAGTTCCTGATACAGCAGCAATGTGGGAACCAATTCATTTAAGGAGAAGAAAAGGAAAAGGAAAGGGAGAACTTTCTTATGACGCCACAAATATTTTGAAAAATTAAAAACACACCTTTGAAGATAAGGACAATCGCCTTGCTGCAGCAATTTGGTCATCTTTAGTCGGGGTGCTTCCGGATCCTGATGCTGCACAGGAAATAGGTTTAAGGATCATTTAAGTGGTCATGGCAATGATTCTCAAATGCAGACAATCTAAAATGTTGCCATCAAAGATCAAATGCATGCATGTTGACTTAGCCTTCTCAATTACCTTCCTCATCAGATGAAAGCCGGCTGCGCAGATACTTCAGCAATGTTGTTGTTGGTCCAGAAACCAATGAACTGGGAACACAATATATTAACTTTGGCAGCTCCATAGAGCTCCCTGACAACTAGTTTAAGAAACGGTAGGAGAAACAGGGATAATACATACCTCCTAAGTGTCCTCATAGGATTTCCAGTAAGCAGAAGCTTTCTTAGGGTAGTCATTTTACCTTGAGTTGCGCATGGATTGTCAGAATTTTCAGTAAGGCAGTAACACAAACTATGCAAGGTTCTCAAAGGCCAAAGCATACACTTATCACTCATGCAAGAATTCAGATCTACGATCTGTTAAATACATAAAAACAGACAGAGAGGAATGCATAACATATGCCTAGGCAAACAAGCAGACCAATGCATAGTGATTCCAAACAAAGCAGACAAATAGCAGCATAGTGCAGAGTAGAACGAACCTAGTTCAGCTGGTAGACCAGATAATGAGTTATTTGATAGATCGAGGAAAGATAATTTGAGGTTGCAGGCTCCAACTGGATACTCCTTTAGCTGGTAACAGGAGAAAATTCATCAGGCATTGGGTTTGTTGCTGGATACTCCTAAACCCAAATAAACAGTAGCCTACCACAACTTACTTGGGACTAAGGCTACATTGTTATTGTCATACATATGGCGCTTTTGACAAATAACTTAATTGTTTGAAGTCATCCAAAGTTTTAACAAATAAGTTTGTTGTGAAAACCATCATCAAGTGGCAGGAAGCAACAATATAACTAAAGTTATTCTGAATGATTGTGCTCTACAAATTCATTTGAACATGTATCATGTATGTGTCCTAACTAACAAGATCTCAAAGGATATTCTACCCCACCCCCACCACCACCACCACAAAAAAAAGCCTACTAAAACAGTTGACAGGGTTAGGCTAGTAAGCCTATTCGGGGTAAAATTGTAACAGGAAAGATAAATTATTATGTATGAAAAGGCCCAAGCATCTATCTCACCACTATTCGCTGCTTGCAATTCCAAATAAACGCTAGATATTCCCAGACAAGGAACTAGAAGCTTTTCTCGACAGTGTCTTCTTTTTTGTTTAAATGATGCAGGATAAATGTGTAAGGGTCTAGGGAAATGATGATAATATAAAATTGACAGTTTGGCCATGGAAAAGATGGGTAGAACCTGATTAGAATGGAGATCAAGTATGCCTAATTTTGATAATGTGCCAATATCAGCTGGTATTGAAGACAATAAGTTATTTCTGGAACACAAACAGAAAAGATGAATTTACATCACAGAAAAATAAATGCACAGAAAGAAAAAAAGGTGAATATGTCCTGAGTTGTGAGTAGAGAACAAACCCCATATAGAACTCGGCTAGTGAAGAGCAACCCTTTATGGAAGGAGGAATTGATGTTATTTCTGACACAGAAAGGTAGAAATCCATCAGTGCTAGTGAAAGAGTAAAAATGCAGAGCATGCACATGTGACAACATGGGTAGATAAACTCACTATTCTGATGCATGTCTAGGCGGATTAGTTTTGGAAGTGCTCCAACGCTACCTGGGATGGCTGTAAGCAGATTTTTTGCTGTAACAAGCTAAAAGTTAGTTAAATGCAAGCAAAACTCAAATGAATCACATAAATTCAACGGATCTTATGTTACTTTTCATACCGAGATTCAACTCTGTGAGCATTGTCCATGAGACAAACATGTTTTCAGAAAGCGTCACAAGCTTGTTACCCTGATAAGTTGTGCACTTGAGTTTCAACAGGCAACTGGAACAACAAAGTAATAGCTTTAGCATTCTATTAGTTCTTACCTCTAGATCCAATTTACTTAACTTGGAACAGCCAGCAAGTACATCTGGTATTCTGGATATGTTGTTGTTTGATGCCTGTACACGATGCATACATTATTTTGTGTGTGTCTAAACTAGAAAGTAAACAAGGAAGTGATAAATTGGAAAGCCATCAAGTGCAAGACCAAGAAACCAGATAACTATATGTCAAAAAGTAAGAATACATCCAATGCAACTTACCTTGAGTTCGGACAAGTCCGGGCATTTGGCAAGGCTAGGTGGAATGTCAGTAAGGCAATTATTTGAGAAATCAACCCTGGCATAAAATACATGAATATTAAGCATCACACATTGCTTCTACTCTTCACATGATGTGCTAATCAACAGCTACTGTACACTTTGTGAGACACAAACATGGTGGAGCAGTAAAAAAAAGGCATGCAGACTACGGAGATCTAAACTAGAGGGTAGGAAAGATGACTGCAGAAACATGCCAAAAGAACGTGAAACTGCGTAACAATGCAGTATAAAATGAGAGTAAATTAACTGAACTACACAAAAAGTACATATAGGCTTACTTGACTAAAGAAGTAGCCAGGCCAATCTCTTCGGGCAGAGTGTTTATTTGATTGAAAGATATGTCCAGTGATTTTAGCAACGGAAGACTGCAAAAAAAAAAAAGGATTACCAAAATCACTGTGGCACTATATGTATGAGTGGAATTCGTCAACAAATACAAGGTGCATACTCTCCGATAGCTGCTGGAAGGGAAGATATCTTGTTGTGGCTTATATTTAAAACAACAAGAGAAGATAGGTTTCTAAGGTCTTCTCTTAACACCTCAAGGTTATTGTGAGCCAGGATGAGCTTTTGGAGGTCCACTCCCTGAAAATTGCACGCATGATCTGATTACTTACTTATCATCACTTGTAGGCGTGTATATTAGCGCGTAGTGGTAGGTAATGAGCATGTTACCTCCCACCATTTCTCATCCTGGCTGCCCGTGTCCAAGTTGTTGTACACCTCCTTGGGTATCTCCCTGCAGGGCAAGGTGGAAAAGGAACAGGCAGAAGTACTGTGAGAGACGCACGCAGTGACTAACTAGCTAGCTATAACAGAAGTGAAGGATGGAATGTGTATGTTTTAGGTACGACAAGTAGAGTGATCTCGTATTTAGCAACAAGCTCCATAGTTGAGAATGTGACTATGTGAGTGAGGGTAAAAGGAAAGAAGTAGTGCTAGCTCCGAGGCCACCCCACCCCTGACAGAATGTCTGGATATTTGTTGAAGAGATGAAATCATAAGTGTGGTGGCTGATGTTGGAACTAAATGCACCAATGTTTTCCATGATGTTCTGTCGGCTGGGGTTGCAAGTATGAAGGTGTAAACAATTTTGGGAAGCGTTCACATTTTACCCTCACATGGCATGAAATAGTGCTAACTGTCATCAAACTGGAGCTTAGAGTTGAGTCAAGCTGAACAGAGGCCAGCAACAGCAGATACATAGAGCACTGATTTGATTTGATTTGATATACGCACACACGAAGAAGGCCGAAATGTAATGTCAGCACGCGATCCCCCGGCACGCCAGAACCGGGAAGACCAGAAGCAGAGAAGCTAGCTAGGCGGCATCGGCGGGCACGAGAGGTGGAGGCGTGAAATCTGAAGGAGGACGCTGTAGATAGAGACGAGGTGGGAGAGGTGAGATTTGGACGTGATGGTGACGGACCTGAGGGAGCGATTGGAGAGGTTGAGGGAGCCCGACTCCCTGGCGGACTTGAGGATCCGCTCCATGGGACTGGAAGCTTCCAGATGGCTTGGTTGATTCAGATCGCCATTGATGGGATGAGATCGAGCTTGGGAGATGGGTGGAGATGGAGGCGGGCAGAGAGCAGCGACAGCTCTCCCTCTTTTGATTCAGATCCACGTTTTGTTTGTTTTCACAGATGAATAGATGATGATGATCCATTCCAGCCTGCCCGCAGTCTCCGCACTGTGGAGCCGGAGCTGGAGCTGCCGAGCTGGACCTGGACCTGGACTGGAAGAAAGAAGACGAGGGACAAACAGAGTTTTGTCTTGGGCTGGGCCTTGTCACACAGCCCAACGCAATGCAGCTGCCAGATGATCCCCCGCCCATCTTCTATCTTCTATAAAAGACTATAAATTTTGAGGGGGTCACGTCGCGGTTACTGTTTATCCGGCGCGCCACCCTCACATACCACTAAGGATCATGATAAACAGTAACGGATCACGATGAACAGTACCTGACCCGCTAAGGAACAGTACCACCATTTTTTCGTTTTTCCCTCCTCAACATTTTCCCCTTTCCCACGCCTCACATGTCACCATAGATGAACAGTACGGATCCTGATGAACAGTACCCGACCCTCTAAGGAACAGTACCAACATTTTCGGCTTTTCTCCTCGCTTTTCTCCTCACCATTTTTTCCCCTTTCCTCTCCTTCCCACGCGAAGCGTGGGGGCGCACGCTATTTATTTTATAAATTTAGTATCAATTAGGGATTGATGGATCCATCCCCGCCCTTGTTTCTTTTTATTTTTGTAATTTAATTCCCATCGACATCGACGTATTCCATCTCCTCATCAATCTTTCTCAAAATCAAATGCAGCTGATCTCCTTCTTCATATCATCAATTATTCGTATATTATATTATAGCGCACTAGCGCAACAATTTCCTATTCGTTTTGCTTGTTGTGTGGTTTTTTATTCTAAAAAAGAGGATATGGTGTTGGAAATGTGAAGGAAGTGAGTCAGAATCAACAGAAGAAAAGCATAGTTTGCATAATTCTCCTCCTCCCGCATAGAGAAAAGAGGAACTAACATTCTCTCTTTTCATTTCCGCTTTTGTCAGAAAACATTGTATGTGATATATTTGACAAACATAATCCAAATAAAATCTATGTATTGAGCGGGCCTAGTGTTATATCGTCACTTCGTCGGTCATAGAATTACAAAGCATGTGCATGCATTCACCAAGTTTAGGCGGATTGTGTATTTATGTGAGTTTCTATAGTTGTACTATGAGTCTTTTTTGTTGCGTCTCTCACTCGACTTCTTTCCACCGGCTCCGCATATCCATGTGCGGAGCCACACCAAATGGTCTTGCGCAGAGGAGTGTTTCTAGCTAGAAAAAATAGAGCCAGAATTGTTTTCATGTACGTTTGTGGAGCCTCAAAAGCTCACTAAAAAGCTAAAAATAATTAAAATAAAGGCCTCAATAATTTTCATTGATATCTATATGGTTCATATACCAATAAAAAACACTAAAATGGCACTATTGTAAGATATGATATTGCATAGGATATCTGAAACCTCTGCTTTTTAATAGTAAACGCGTGTGATTGCACAAAGATTTTTAAAATAGTTCCTCTATTTGGATTATACGGTCTAAATTTAGTTGTCGGACTAAAACTCTAGACTACTTTATCTCACTTTGTGTAATCTAATTTTTTTATGGTTAGCTAAACTTTAGGTAGTACTTTAAACCTTGGGTTTTGGAACATCGAGAACTAAAGTGGTATATGAAACAACCCCGATTTCCACGAAGGGAAATCCACAGAGTCGAAGTGTAATAAGACCGTTGAAGATCATATTACCCGAATTCCAGTCGAATATCACAACCATACAACGTAATATCAGAGTATAAATAGTGCGGAATTACATAAATTATTACATCGCCGCATTGGCGGAATCAAAAGTAGCATTCATTCAGAACAACTTGAAGATAGATCGCCAAACTCGAGCGTAGGAACGAATCCCTCAACCGTCAAACTTCTCGGAGCTATACTCCTCAGCAGAACCTGTGTGCCCAAAATTTATCAGTACGATTTGTACTGGCCACACCCGACCCTATGAGCATTGCTTTGTGGAAATTGGATGCAAGTTGGATATATTCAAAAAGGAACATATAAGGCTGGAGTTTCCTATGTATTAGCATATCAAGTACATTATATCAGTTGGTCAAGTTTTAACACCATTCTCACACATTCCACCCCATTCCCATTCTAGAGCCAGGTTTTGATCCTGGGATCGATACACCACCATCTCCACACCATCACCATACCACACCCATACCATCACTCAGTCGACATGCCAACTCCCTCTCGGCACTGTCTCATGGCCCGTAGCCCCTGGCTACGTCCGAACACTCACTCCCAGGGGGAGAAAAGAAGGACTCATCTCACTATCTGGTTTAAGCGAAACCCAGAAAAGGTCCATAGCCGACAAGTCGGCATATGTATCGATCGATCAACCACACTCTGCAGAGGTTTTACATAACCACAAGATCTGCCTTCCTCGCTGATCGTCGTTAACTGGGCTGATTCCGGCCGCTTGCTAGCCTAGGATAATGCCACTTTACCATTCAGCCCTAGTACACCCCAAGTCTGGTCTGGGGTGGCTGAAACTGTGAATCATGAGCTGGGTCCACAAGGTCTCCATGAAGTCTCGGAAGGGTGTGGGGGAAATCCTCCGCACCCCGTACCTTCCTCACACTGTCCGCTATCAACCAAGCAGTAGTGGCAATATCCTACCAAGTAGTCCGGCCGTCCCGCACCATATAGGGCGAGTGGTACGTAAGGCTTTCCGGTGAATCTGAGTACTAGTAAGTCCTTAGAGATGACCAAGCCAGAATGTCTTCATCAGGGTTTTCATTACCGTGCCACCACATCACCTCCATCCTGGGCTCCTCCCATCATAGGATCACACCCAAGGCCACCTCATATACCATTTACCCACCACATATATCCATTCTAGGGGTGCCCAGGTAGCACCCCACGGCAAGACTTGCCCCAGGCTCGTCGTTTACTCCAACTTGGTCGACACAACCCTCACCCTCCACGCACCCAAGTCACACACGCAGCACTCTCCCCAATCATCAGTTTCCTCCACACATCAATGTAGTGCAAGCGTAGTAGAAGTATTAAGCAATGAAATAACATGCGTGTGACTAGCCTAACAGTAGGGTGAGCAGGGGTAAGGTTGCGTCAAGGTAAAGGCCATCAAAAAAGCATTCTACCATGCAAGTCCTATCATAGTGTGATTACAATAAAGTAAAGCACTAGCATTTCTATTTTAGCCATGCGTAATAGGTGCTACGAGGTTGGGTGGGATGTGGCACCTTTAGTGTAGTCGTCTCCGTACTTCTCACGGTACTCACGATCCTCGTCCGTTCGGTTCTCCTCTGAGTCTGCAAACGATCGCACTATAGTCGCGTTAGCGACGTCTATAGAATAGCACAAAGAAGCAATGCAAATTCAAAAGAGCCAAATACACTCAAACATGGGTTCATTGCTTAGAGCTCGATTTTAGATGAATTTTGGTCCTGGTTTCATATTTTTCTGAGGTCGTATGAATTAGTTATGATTTTTCGAAGTTTAAATCATTTCTGAAAATAGAAAAGGCTGATTTAATCCTGGGCTGACACGTGTCACGCTGTGGTTGGTCCACGTGGCTTGCTGACGTCAGCATGATGTCATCAACGTCATCCTCACCGACAGGTGGGCCAGAGGCTATTGAGTCACTGACAGGTGGGTCCGGTCAAAGTCAACGGCGAGTCAAGCGGTGCCGGTCAGCGGTTAGGGTCACTAACGTGGGCCAGAGGGTCTGCCGACGCGTCGGCGAATGATGTCGGCGGACGTCGACATGACATCACATCATTGCGGCAACCGGCGTCCGACGTGGGTCGTCAACGTGACGTCACCATCTAACGTATGGGTCGAGTGTACGTACCCAGCGACATGTGGGGCCAGTCAGCAATCATCACGGGCTAGGTCCGAACTGGACTCTGATGGGCTCGGGTTGGGCCAGTCTGGGCCGGGCCGGACACATGGCAAGCTGTGGCGTTGCCACGTCACGGCCGTGGGCTCTACTGGGCTTCGTCCCACGGCTTCATGCGGCGTGAGCGGCGGCTCACGGTGGACCAGGAGGGGCTGGTCCATGGACCGTAGACAGATCTATGGTGGATCGAGTCCACCCTCCACCTCTCAGGCGCAGTCCTTGTGCACCAGGTGTACTCGCGGGTGGCCGGCGAGGGGGCTGTTCCCTTGTTTTTCCCGCGGCGGTGCTCCTGCTAGCGGCGAGCTCGCTGCGAGCCTCCTGTGGTAGCGCTGGTGTCCGATTGGGGAGGGAAAAGCTCTCTCTCTGTGTGCGGATCGCATCGGTGGGGTCAAGGTGGCGGTCAAAGCTTCCCAAAGCGGCCAGCCACGTAACGGTGGCTCGAGCTCCACCCGGCGTCAGCGGGAATGGTGCGAGTCTTTGCGGCATAGGGCGATTCTGTGGTGCGTGTGGGGCGACACTATGCTCCAATGGGCATGTTGGGCGGTCGAGGGTCCTCTAGGGCCTCCGGTGGCTTTAGCCTGGCGGCGGTGGCCTTCGAGAAACTGTGGCGGCATCGGTGAGGTGGCTACGGTCACGGTGAAACATCTCGGTGGGGGTGTGTATGCTTCTACGGATTCGTGGGGACGCGGCGAGGACGTCTAGGCTCAAGGCGAGGCTCGGGTTCTCCTGTGGCCGGTAGGGACATCCCGGCGGTCACGGTGATCATGAAGACGACGGTGAGGCGCACGGGTGAACCAGGGGGCTCCAGCGGGGTAGTCACGGCGGGGTCACAGATGTGTGCGTGGGTGCGTGTGTTCCCAGCGGCTGAAGATGGCCCTAGCCTACGCGCTCCCGGTGTGGAGCGCCATGGCCGGTGTGACAGAGTCCGGCGGCGAGCAAGGGAAGAACTGGGTGCTCACCGATGGTGTTGTGGAAGAGGGGATGGTGATGTAGTGGTGAGTCGCGGTAGTGTAGCTCCGGAAGCCATGCAGTGCAGCGTTGCCCGCGTCAGTGATGAAGACGATGGCGTCGTCTTCAGCTCCGACGACCTCCTTCCCCGCGACGGCTTTGGCGTTTCTCCTCCCCTTTCTTCCCCTTCTCCCCCTTCTCTCTTGGTTCGGATGCGCTGTGGACGGCCACCAGAGCGGCGGCGGGGCGATGGAGAGGAAACTAGGGGCTCCCGGCCGAGGCTTTTGTAGCCGGAGCTTTGGACCACTGCATGGACGAGCGGCGGATGGGGATTAAGGGTGATCGGGGCGCGAACTTGCATCCGACGATTGCGAGTGGTTGCGTGGGCGCGGCGCAAGGGGACAAGGTCATGCCCCCGGCGTGACCCCCCTGGCCCGCCCCTGCCACCGCTGTCGGCCTCCGGTCGGCGAGCGGTTGAGGCGTTGGCGTGGAGAAGATGATGACTTTGTGGACGGGGTGGTGGCGTGTGGGGCCGTGTGGTGGCGGGCATGGCGAGGCGAGGCAGGGCAGGCATATGGCGTGGGCGGTCTTATTTGGGCATGAGCTAGGCTGACTTCTTCTTGTGCACAACAAGGGGCTGCTAAGGTCATTCTTACATGTGTGGCGAGTAGAAGCCGAAAGCAGAGCCTAGTCATGAGGCCTTCTCCTCTTTTCTTTTCTTTTCTGTTTTCTTTTTCTACTCCTTTGATTCGAATTCAAAATTGGTTTTTAAATTTGGATTCCAAATTGGTGTACCATATTCATTAGAGTTTTTGATATGAGGCCAACAACATACTTATGTAAATACTAGGAATTTATTTAGCTATTTTGTATAACAAAACTAGGTGTGGTTTTTGTTATACAAAGTAGAATTAGTTTCTTTTCTCTTTAAACCTTTATTCCTTGGTTTGTATTTTAATTATTTCATGGTTTATTATTTAATTGGAGTTATTAAGCATATCATAACTCAAATAGAAATCCAAATCACATTTTGAATTAACAATGCATGCAATACTTTATTTGTTAGAATTTAAATAAACATGATTAACTAATAATATGCCATGCTTATGTGTTAACTTAGGTTGGGGTTAGACCTAATGCATCTCTTAAGTTGGGTTTCTACACATGACACTCATCATTACATGTGGGTTTTAAGAAAAATTTTATAGTTGGTATTTTTGGGTGTATGGATTTTTGGGTTGTTATAGTATAAAACTTAGTAGCTAAACTTTCGACAATGAGATCTGGACAAAGCCTTAGGGCCTGTTTGGATATAAGGGATAATTGGTAGCTAGCTAAAATTTAGTCAAAATTAGTGTGCATCTAAACAGAAGGACTAATTCTTTTAGCTTCAACTAGTTGTTGGGCTAATTTTATCCCGAACTAATAACTAGCCATGTGTATCCAAATAATTAGTTGTTTGTCATAACAAATATGACTGTTCAAAAAAACAATTGGTTAAGTTAAAACGGTTTCACTTAGTATTATAGCCAGAATTGCATCATTTTGGTGAAAGGGCACGTAGCCCAAGAGTGTCAGTAGCACTTGACGTCCTGGGTTCGACTCTTTGTAGGGGCGAATATTTTAGGATTTAACCTTTTTGTATTTTCAGTGGCAGACAATGTTCTTATCAACAGCGAAACGTCTATAGTGACTTCGTCTCGATAATTTACCGACTCAGTCTTTGATGGTGTTCACAGGAGCTGGGTTAAAGTGTGTATGTTCGTAGAGACGAGTGTACGTGTATCACGTGGGTTTACGTCGTACTGTGTTACTGTGTAGTCTAAAAAGAATTGCATGATTTTGTTTAATGGCATGAAAACGGCAGCACACACCTGTCAGTGGCGCGGCGCAGAGGAGCAATCGCCACCTGATCCTGATGCGGAGGCGGAGGCGGTGGCGCGGCGCCCCCGGTTTTGGCATTTGGCAAAGAACGGACGGAGACAAATCCGCGGCTCGGGTCGGGTCGCCACGACCGAATTCCATCTCCAGCGCGTACGGGCACGGACGACTAGACGAGAGAGACGGCTGCACCGCCCCGCCCTTCGCCGCCAAGAAAACGAAGCCACTGGAACCCGACGCGGAGGGAGAGTCCAGAAAGCGACCCGTCCGCGACGCCGCCCCGCCCGTCCGTCTCGCTCCAGGCTCCGTTCCCTCCCTCCCCCCACCCCACCTGACCTCCCGCGCGGGAGATCCACCCGCCCGCCCCATGGCGCCGTCGCGCCCGCTCATGCGGGGGATCCGCCCGCCGCGCGTCTTCCCGACCCGCGGCGGCCGCGCCTCGCCGTACGCCGTCGCGCTCACCGCCCTGCTCATTGTCTCCGCCGCCCTCCTCGCGCTCATCGCCTTCGGCGTCTTCTCGCTCCCCGTGTCCGCGCCCAACGCCGCCACTACCGCCGCCGGCGCTGCCGGAGGGGAGACCGAGTCCGCCGACGCCCGACCCGCGCGCCCCCGCGCCCGCCGCGACCTGGGGTGAGTCACGACTGATGTGATCCTTCCACTTCCACCTGGGGGTTCCGTTTCGGCCCCCGCATTTCCCTCCCCACCTGCTGTAGCTCCTTCAGATTTGGCTCGATCCGCTGCTGATCCTGATCGTCGCTGCTGTTGGCTGGTCGCGAGCAGGGAAGGGCTGGGAGAGCGCGGCGCGCAGTGGACCGAGGTCATCTCATGGGAGCCCAGGGCTTTCGTCTACCACAACTTCCTGGTAAGCAATGCAATGCCAATGCCACCACCGCGGTCTCTCTGTCTGTGCATGCTTGCTCTTCTGTGTAAAGTTCTTCACGGTCATCTGATTCTCATGACCGAGATGGATTGAATCATGAGCTCTGTGGTAGTACAGTTGGATCTGGGAATACAATAATGGTGCTCATCTTATGCCGTCACCATGAACTTAGCAATTGTGTGTACTGCATTCCAGTTTTATTTCGTCGTCCGTTTTTTTTTTTTTTTTTTTGGTGAGGGGTGGGGGTGGTGTCAGTTGCATTTTAGTGAAACATAAACTCTAGACTAGACTTCTCGTATTACGCCTTCATTTTATCATAGCACAACTCTATTTTGTGGTGTATTATTAGCTGAAATATGAGACAATTGGGATGTAAATTGGGCAAACTAGTGCTGTCTGTGTTACTCTATGAGCCATCTTAAACTAAACAATATTAAATGCAGTGGAAGACTTGTCTTGTTGACTAGTTCCCTGTGGCATATATGTTGCTGGTGGTGTTAGATAGGGACCAAATTGCCTATGGATGGAAGAAACACACGCATGGTTTGTCGCTGATATACGGCATGTTCGCTTGTTGGTTTCTGGGCTGATAAGCCCGGCTGGTGCTGGTTTGTTGTGAGAGGAAAACACTGTTGGCTGGCTGATAAGCCCTTGCTGAAACCAACAAGCGAACATGCTGTACACCTGACTTAATAAATACCGTGTTTAGGTTGACCTGGTTGGTTATGCAATTCCATATGTCCAGTCTACTTAGGAAAGAGATCTCAGATGTTATGTATGTGTTCAATTTTTCATAGTTATGCATACTGTACAATCTATATGGTCAGTATTTATTAACTGCTTCTCCCCGCCCAATGTCAATGATTATCTGACTACACTGTTTGCTGATACTTTGTTCTTTTTCTTAGTCTAAGGAAGAGTGTGAGTACCTAATTGGATTGGCCAAGCCTCACATGGTGAAATCAACAGTTGTCGACAGCACTACCGGCAAAAGCAAGGACAGCAGGGTCCGGACAAGTTCAGGCATGTTTCTTCAAAGAGGAAGAGACAAGGTTATTCGAGCAATTGAAAAGAGGATAGCAGACTACACCTTCATACCTGTAGGTGTGTGATTTTTATGTTATTTAGTGTACAGCTATATTTTTCACGAGCAAGTTCTGTGCTTAGCGTGATCTTAAAAATGATAAATTAAAACTGAGGTGTACTTAGAACTGTCACCCGTATAGCACGTAGCGCAATTTGATGGTTATATGTGCCTTCTTAGTTGTTTGTTAGGAATAACATTACACCCAATGACACGGAACTGAGTTTTGTCAGCATGTTACCATCATGAAATGCAGTCTAGCTATGTATCTCCAACTTGTTCTCTCTTTTTGCTTTGATCATTTAAAGGATGTATTATCCTGTTGAATCATATTGATTCATGCTGCCTTACAGATCATGGTGAGGGACTCCAGGTGCTGCATTATGAAGTCGGGCAGAAGTATGAGCCTCACTTTGATTATTTTCTTGATGAGTTCAACACTAAGAATGGTGGTCAGAGGATGGCTACTCTTCTGATGTATCTGTAAGTATATGTTTATATATATTTATACATTATTTTTTATTAGACTTTTTTGCAGTGTTAACTGAGTTTGCAGTATTTTCTTATATATTATTTTTAATGGGTACAGATCAGATGTTGAAGAAGGGGGTGAGACTATTTTCCCTGATGCAAATGTGAACGCCAGTTCTTTACCATGGTACAATGAGCTTTCAGAGTGTGCCAAAAGAGGCCTTTCTGTCAAACCAAAGATGGGAGATGCACTTCTTTTCTGGAGCATGAAACCAGATGCCACTCTGGACCCATTAAGTTTGCATGGTTAGTTCAACAGCCGTTTTTTGTTTTTGTTACTTATTTTTTCTTCAATGATATATATGGAAAGGTCTGAAGATATACCACCTTTTCATTTATGAAGCCCTTGTAGCCTTGTTCCATTTTCCCTGTGGAAAGATATTGGCCCTCCAGCTTTTCATATGTTATATGCAGTTTTATTTATATCCCGTTGTTCTTGCAGGGGGGTGTCCTGTGATTAGAGGAAATAAATGGTCGTCAACCAAGTGGATGCATATCCATGAGTACAAAGCTTGAGGCTTGGAGAGTCGAACATACAAAAGGTATATGCTGTTGGATTGGGTTTGTAAGGTGTTACTTGTGCTATTTTAACAACATGTATTTAGTCTTGGCACAAATGTGGCTTTGAGCTTTGAAGTAACTTGGCACCTGGCTCCAATTATCTTTGCACTTAAAGATTGATCTATATAAAACCCAACCGCGCTGCTTGATTTGTTTGCAAGGAATACAGAACCTTGATCATGTGTAAGTTTTGCTTGAAGAATTGTTAAAACTAATTTGGCGTTCTACTTTCTCCTGCAGATGGACCTCTATGCATGTGACTTGGGGCTCTCTACGGGATTGACACTAATGTATGCTTTACAGACCCACTGAAGCTGTATTCTTTGCTCCTTTGTTGGAGGGGAGATAATAGGGGCCAATAAGCAGGGGCCTTGCTCGTCCCTGCAGAATTTTTTGGGGCTGATCCTTGCTGACTTGGCTTTTATCTTTTCATTTCTTTTTCTTCCCTTGAAGGGCGGGCCTGGTGCAAGCGGTAGAGTCTTACCGCCTGTGACCGGAAGGTCCCGGGTTCGAGTCGCGGTCTCCTCGCATTACACAAGCGAGGGTAAGGCTCGCCACTAACACCCTTCCCCAGACCCCGCACAGAGCGGGAGCTCTCTGCACTGGGTACGCCCTTCTTTTTCTTCCCTTGCAGTACCCCAACTATAGAGTTTGAGATTTTGTTTTTGTGCAATACCCCTAATATTAGTATATGAATGCTGTATTACTATGATACTTATAAGCTTTGGTACTAATGAATAATGAGGCCCAACCTGTTCGGTTGGCTGGTTTGTATCGTTGCTGGTTCGTTTATATGAGAGAGAAGTACTGCTGACTGATTCATGTGAATAGTGCCCATGTGAGGGGGCTAGCCAGCCTAGCCAGCCAGCCCCAGCCGAACGGGGTAGAGCTCACATCTGGTACATGAGTGCTGTATTGCTGTTGAAGATGTCTCCCTGTCGGTGGTGGCTTGATCGATGGTGCTGGAACTCAGCTGCAGGTGTTGTACTGATCCTAAGGATCTGCTGCAGAATTACACAAGTGTTTAATTTTCTTCTGGAAGAGTGATCTGGCCCACAATGTGAAGCGACAACAATATGCACTTGTACCCAAAGAGAGTTTATTCCTCGTCCCAAGACCCTGACCGACAGACGCTAACTAACCAAACACAACAGGAAGAATCGCAATCTCTGTCAATCGCCGTCAGCCCATCAGCTATGCGGGTGCGATGACTCCGGTAGCGCCAATAGCAGCCTCACAGCACAACGCGCCTCACATGACTGTCTGTCTACACAAGACACGAGAAGGAAGCAGCAAACAAATGGTGATTGTCCGCGGAAATGCACTAGTCAACAGGACAGAAGCGGTTTTAGCAAAGCTCATATGAGTAATTTGTATTGAGATCATTGAATAAATAGCTGTTATTCCAAATTTTAATTGTTACCGGACTCCTCATCTGCAGTAGCACACGGCAAAACTGCCGGATCATTCCAAAAACACTCACACCAACACCCAAAATCTTACCCAAACACTAGTTGTCGTCAGTAACTTATCCAAAACCACAAGCACAGCTATCAAGATACGTTTGAACTCTACATAGGTGTATACTTTACCCACAAGCTAGGTAAACAACGCAATGCACTTACCGTGAAGGCCCGGCCATGTCCTAACCACTACCCTCCTAGCTAAGGATGAAAACGGAAAGGAAATATCCTGAACCGAACCGCATCGTTTTCTACATTTGACCCGAGCGAATTCGTATTTTTGGACAAAATACGGAATACTAAATTCGAATTCGAAATACGGAATACTAAATTCGAAATCGGATCGAATTCGGTTTAGGCTTTGTTCGACCGATTTCTAGTTTTGTACATTTTATTCGGAGTCTTCCGTATTCTAAATTCGGTTCGAACCGAATTTGGTCCAGCAAGCGAAGGTCACCCTCGGGAGCTCGCCGCTGCTGCCGCTCGCAGCGCACCACCGGGAGCTCGCCCTTCCTCTTCCCCTGCCTCTGCTTCCACCCGCCGTTGCCGCGCTTGCATTGCTGAGCCTTGCGCGCCACCGCCACCCGCTCCCCCTCTGCTCCGCGCCCCTTTCTCGCACTGCACAGACTTGTTGCCACTGCTTTGCCTTGCCGCCTTGCTTTCCACCCAGTGCGCTTGAGAGCGAGACTCCACCGGCGCCCAACTCCCTCCGTCTCTCTGCTCTTGTTGCGCGAGAAGCTGAGGACGCCCTCTGCCACCGCCACCAACACCGACGGCAGGCGCTCTCTCTCCGCCTCACCCGGCTCACTCTCTCTCCTCCTCTCTCCCTCTCTCTCTATCGCTCCTCTCTGTTTCTTCCTTCGTTGACCGTGCGGTGGGGAGATGACGACGGACCGCCAGGCGATGGAATCCGAGGGAGCCGGCCACGTCGCCTTGGCCAATGAGGGCTCGCCATCTCGCCCCGTGGGCCCCGCACGACAGTGGCTCTGCTCCCATCCTCCTACCTCCATACACCCGGTCCACATGGAACCAAGGGACATAGGGCGAGTGCACAGATCGGTGTATGGCATAGTGCAAGTCAGCCCTGAATCCCTGATCATTGACTGGCCCCACACGTCAGCTGCTGTAGCGCTTGAGAATTGCTAGGTACACATGGGAGATGTTTCACAGGGAAATAAATTAGTTAGATTTGCACAAAGAATTGCTAAGTATCAAAAGTAGCATCCGAGTCTGCTTTTAGTGCTGCTGGTCGTATTGAATTTTCGCATACCGACCGTGTTCGACATAATTCCGCTCGAATTGGTTCGTTTCCGAAATTCTAGATATTCCGTAAGTTCGTGTTCGTTTTCGTGTCCGGCTTGTCCGTTTTCGCTTTCGTTTTCGTATTTCAAATGTAAAAGTAGAAAACGGTTGAGGAGTTTTTCGACCGAGTTCAACCGTTTTCATCCTTACTCCTAGCATCATCTTAGCATAGTTGCGACCAAATCACCTAGTTAAAAAAAGGGGATTAAGACCTTTAAGCGACTCCAATCCGGGTCACAAAGCCTGCATTACTTGCACCTTCCCTTTGCTTGTCTGTTGCACCCTGCCTCTAGACAACTACCAGACTAACTAGTAACTAGAGGGGTTTAGGTCAAGCCCTATCACATACAGGGTCGAATGGTCACACAAATTTAAGTTAGGCAAGATGAAACTCCAACTCAGTCCTCAATCGAGACAGGGTGGACATCTTCTGCTTCAATCCCGAGTTCCGTCCAAACTCCAAGGGCAAACCTGTATGGGGCTACCCAATTCCACCTAATCTCTAATTTACCCAAAACCTCTTTCATCTAATAAGGTGTTACCATAAACCACTTAATTCACACCACTTCAACACATTTTTTTCCTTTTTGAAAATTCGTGGTATTTCATAAATGTATAACTCATATTGGAACTTGATGTGCTCATCGTGGACTTTCTCACCTTAACTCCCCTGGCCTAGTAGAGGACAATGTGGGTATGTAGGGCATGGTTTTGGAGCTTAAGTTGGACGGAACCACATGTCAGTGGCGTTTTCAAGAGCTTTGGATGAGTTTTTGGAGCTTGACAATGATTGACAGTGGTGGATAATGGTCCCCAGAGCTTCTAACTTACCTTAGGTCGACCATTTGGCAACGTGGCGACCTGGAAATGGAGAGAAAGGACCACAAGAATGGTCCCATACCAGTATATATAGCCAAAGTCCATGAGGTTGTTGGATGCTACGTTATTCGCATGTGTGGCAAAAGTTTGACACGACCACACGAGGGACATGCCAAGTCTTGTCGCGTGGCTAGTTACTGGTCATTAGTCTAAACATGTCGAATATCTATATTCTACATTGTTCTAATATTTTCATGGTGCTAATATTTAGTGGTTTCATGTGAAATATCAAGCATCATAAGTTGTGTGGAAGGTTCTAGAAGGTTTGCATTGTTATCTTCAAAACAACTTATATGGTGCTTACAAAGCAGTTGTTAGTCCACAAGGGAATAATACAAAGACTCATGTGTTTGTCTTCAATAACTCATATTGGAACTTGATGTGCTCATCGTGGACTTTCTCGCCTTAACTCCCCTGGCCTAGTAGAGGACAATGTGGGTATGTAAGGCATGGTTTTTGTAACACCATCGGTGTTACACCGTAAATCATTTACTAAAATATGTCATGAGCATCATGTTTATGTGTTAATGTATGTAATAGAGTGTGTAGATCAATTTCTGTAACTCGAAACGATCGACAGAAATGCAAAACGAAAGTTGATTCGATAGTCATGTTATATCACTTAGGGTTTAAAACCAATTTTTATTAAGCAAAAATGCTATATAACATGTATGTGATACATAAATAAAATTTGAAGTATAAACTTTGTAGATGATAATGAAATACTTGTTGTTCAAAAATAATATTGCTAAGTAATATTTCTACTAGCCTAGAAATGCAATTTGAAATAAGACTCGGCTCAAAAACTTAGGAAAATTTTAAGTATGTTAATAGCTAGACATTGTCGTGTTTAGCAAATTATTGCAAGAGATTAGGTTAAGGAGTGATGAGGTGTTATAGCTCTGAAAGCATCTAAGCCCCTAGTTGGGTTTCGGTGATTAATGATGACACGAGATTATTATGACTAACATGTGTTTTGTAGAGACAATTTAAGTTATGTTATGGTAATGGCAATTGATTGGGCAATTATGGTTTTCATGCCCCGTCGATGAAATTCGTTTCGGTTTTCAAATGATGGACGACAAGGTAAAGGACGGACTAGTTCTAAGTGTCGTTTGGTGTTGGAGAGACACTTAGAGTAGTTTAGGACTTTGTTTTTCCTTTGACCGTACTATTAAGGGATGTATGGACTAGTAGCTTGACCTAGATGAGTCTAGTGAGTTAGGTGTGGCAGAACCACCCGAAATAACGCACTTACGGAGGCGCTTGTCTTCCACTGACACTAAGCACCCCGAGAGCGAAAGGTCAACA